TTGATGGCGCAAACAGATTGCACAGGCTTGCAGGCGCAGATGGAGGGTTTCTGGAAACAGTCCAGCCACAGCAGGCCCCGGAAGAGGTCTGGCTGCTCAAACTGCATAGAAGGCCCAGCGATCATGGGGTGGCTCTCGATCATCCTGATGTAGGGCTGCCGCAAAATGGCAGGGCCTGCCTTGGGGTCTTGAAATCTTACGGACACTGACATGGAGTAAAAGGAAGATTTTGGTCCTCCATGGGGAAAGCTGTAGGAGTTCAGTAGTACGAGCCTCAAGTTGGTGTGAGGGCCCCCATAAGACCAAACCCAAGGCCAACCCTCCTCAAACCTGCTAAACAAATAAACCCGAAACCCAAGTCCCATAATCAATAGTGCAACGCTCCTTTGGGGCTGCACAAACATGTCGCGCAGCGCTGCGCCGATGTCTGAGTCCATCAACTGGGCAGCCGAGTGGCTTCTAGGCAGGTGTATAGACATATGAGGTAAGGAGCGGGTGCACATAGAACAGAATTCTTTGGACACTGATGAATGTATATGCGGGATGTCCTTCGAGGGAGCATGAGCTCTAGTCTTACCTCAGAATGGGAAACATCGTTTTGGGGAGACGTGGGGCACATGGTCGCGGCTCAACAGAGACTAGGGGGGATAAGCTCACTCAAACGAGATCTTTGATGCAGGCTATGCATGGACAATTCCATACTGACTGGTGCTCACGGGGAATTGGGGGGTACTATGTATTAGGGGAGTATACGAGGATCATTATAGGGATTCACTCACCGACTCCTTGTTAAGCACCAGTACATATGGGGATGTTGCCCCAACTTGTTCAAGGAACCCTACACAAATCTACCCAAAACTAATAAATCTTGCACCGCGCCACATCCTCCAACGGCACTAGCTTTGCTGTATTCATGACTAGTGGGCGGGGGGTTCTTGTTCGAGGAAGGGGTTGAGATGACTTCCATGACATGCTACCTCACCTCCCCCACCACCAAACTCTGTTTGTCCAGGTTTAGCCACAATCTAAACTCCCAGTACCCCGCTATATAACCCTCTTGAAGGAATTCAGGCTATAGCTCATATACTGCCACAGAATTCCCATACATCCCGCAATCTCCTCCAAGCTGACTTCTCAGAATCGCCTAGGCGCAGGCCCGAGATTGATGACCACGGGCTTGCCTAGCCCAACAGCTTCAATGTTTTTTTAATCTCAATATTCATAGTAATAATAACATGAAAGTCATTGTTATTACTCCCGTTGCTACTATTATCTCTATATGTAGTACTAACTTTATTGCTACTATTAACTACTAGTATAAGATTCTGGTTCCTATCGGGATAAGGGACTTGATAATCTTGCATTCCTTACTGGGCTATGGCATCGTAGAAGCTTCAAGACATCCAGCCAAGGATTGACAACGTTCGAAGCCTTTTTTGAAATTGGCCTCCCCTACACTAAAATGGGGTTTAGGGTTCAGGGTTCAGGGTGTAGGGTTTGCACAGCCGCCGGGGCATCCTTTTCTTGCCTCTGGTTAATAGGGAAATGCAAACTATCATAGTCTTGGCCAATAGGTTGGATTACTATAAGGAGCATCCTTCTATTTCAGAGTCAGAGATAAGCTTTGGAAATTCCATGTTGGTTTGAGTGAAGCTAGAGCTACGTCGAGATTTACGAGCTAATCCTATAAATGTTGGAAATAATTCTAATTCGGTTGGCCTTTGGAGGCCTTTGAAAAATGTTTGCATACAGGGTCCTTATGAAACCAATACGCGAAAAAAGTTAAACACCCCGAAGGCCACCCAATGATTAGGTTTTGAATAGTCAGGAAAACAATAAGAAACAAGGTAGGCTCAGAATTAGGACATGACTAGGAAGCTCACAGGCAAGGCAACTCGCAAATGGAGAAATGGGCCAGAAATTAGGAAATGGTTAGGAAGTCAGCCGAGACCAAAAAATGAAACAAGACACCAGCAAACCACAAAACGCACAAACAAGTAGGATATAATTGTTAGACATGAAAAAGGCAAGGCCCACATCGTCAGTTCTTTGGGAGGCCTCGTATTTTCCTGTATTCATCAAATTTCATATCTACATGTTTCTTGTTTTCCTTGGTTTTCACCAAAGTTCCTGTTTTTCTGTCTTTTCACCTATTTCCACAATTTTTCTACCTGTTTCTCTAAGTGTCCAACGTTTCCCTAAGCTTGGTCCCCTACATTCCCTAGTTTCCCCTAGTGTTTCTCTAGTTCTCATAGATCTCCCTCGGGTTGGTGCTATTTGGGTCCTACTTTTCTCTAGTGCTCCCCTACATTTTCTCTAATTTTTCTATGTATCCCAAATTGTTCGATGTTCTCTATGTTTCCCTAATTTTCAGTTGTTCTCCAGTTGTCCCCAGTTTTCTTACACTTGACTCTATGTTTCTCTAATTTCTATGTTTTGCTTCCTAATTGTAATCCCTAACTTTTTCCCGAATTTCCATACCTAATATTCAGCACGGGATTCCGCCTACGTGTTTTGTATATTTTCCCGTCTGTGAAGCCCGGGCTCCTACGTGCCTTCCGAATTTTCATCCTACCACTTTTCCTAATGTTCCCTGGAGCAAATTATGTATGAAATCTACAGAACTAACTTCAAGCCTTCACCTACAGTTAGATCCTGTGGAGAGGTTTAGTCTAGGCTTGAAAATTTCTCAGACTGGCGGCTCCCTTCCTCAGCGACCCTGGACGTATGTAGGGGGAGGGGAATGCGGAATATGGATGACCCTGAACCCCGAAACACTAAATAGAAGTTTCCATTTTCTTTTCTATTACCCCCAACATAACCCCTATAACCCCTACATATCATTCCCCTAAACCTTAAGTAGTAGTTGCCATTTTCTTTTCCATTATCCCAAAATAACCCCTATAACCTCTGATTCCCACCTGGACGAAACGGCAGATCGTCCTCATCCAGCTGGGAGGAGGCCCCTGGCAGAAGCAGGAGGAGCAGTGGAAGCTTCCAGCTGCAGCGCTGCAGTCCGTTCCCTGCCATGGCTACGTCGCGTCCTGGTATCCACGGCAAATTTAGGGTTTAGGGTCTAGGGTTTAGGGTTGCTAAGAATTGGGGATGATTGGGGTTTGGGTACACAATTTTTGAATGTTTTGGGAGGCCATGAGCCATTGTAGCTTCAGAAGGGGATAGCCTCCTGAACAAGGATTGAGCTCGGCCAGCGCGGCCTATGTACACATCTGCTGAGCGAGAAGAGAAAGCATGCATAAAGCACTACTGTACTGCGGCCGGCACGTGTGAGGCCGAGCTGACCCAAGACATGTACAGAAATGTCTGCTTCAGGGCTTTCCACGGCATTCGATACTACACCCTCCTTCACCACACCTCCTGAAAATATTGGGTTCCCCGCCATTCATGCATGCCAATGTGGAGAAAGATGCTCCTGTATAAGGGTTGGTATAACACTGGTGTGCTTAGGAATTGGGCAACTCCCCCAACAACAGTTTTTGCATCTGCGATTTCGTCTACGAGGCGATTCTTCGCCAAAGACAAATGGCTCTTGTGCCACATGAGTAAGGATGTCGCTGTGCAGTTCGGTGAAACCGTGAATTCCGGCAAGGATTAGCCTACCGCATACCTTCATGCGGGCGTTCACAATTCATATCTGAGACACGCCGACCTTGCCCGCGCATCGCATTGTCTCAACATTCCCAGGAGTCTCCCCCAGTCAACCTGACCTACACAGGGTAATTGCATATGCTTAAAGTCCATTCCTACTACTAACCCTGGTTTGTAGTTATGCCCTTTTTTGGCAACCCTCAGTCCGGAAGCACCGGGCAACGCCAGCATGTCCTAGCTCCCAGCCTTCTCAGTTGGAGAAAGGGGCTCTGGAGCTAAAGCGCAGGCGGAGATCATTTTTCAACCAGCTCAGCGAAGCTGCACAAGGACTGATGTGATGTCATCCTTAGAGACAAGATGGGAGTCTCATCTCTTGAGATTCTAACAGGAAACACTCAAACGCACTCTATTTGTGTTTGAGATTGCTTGGGGATCTTCCAGATATGTGGAAGGACTGGGTTTTGGACGTGCGGGCATCCGTGGATACTCTTGGCTGCTACAAACTTAGGAGCAAGACAATCCAGAACAGGAGGCACTCCAAGTCTTTAGTGAAAGGGTCCAGGCAAAGCGGGACCTACTGGCAGTGTCGGAAAAATTGAAGACAAGTTGCCTTCTGTGACTAAACTCCAAGTCTGCACACCGAAGGAAACATGGAAACCACCTATCTTCTTCGCGAATGTACCGAGCTAATCTCTGGATATCGCTGGATCCCAACTCCATTACCTACTGACAACGAGTAAGTCAAGCACGCAAGGGAACCGCTCAAAGTAGCAACTGGTGCGGCAAACCTTCCCGAATCACAAGATGGTATGTGCGGCAGGGACAGTTGAAGAAGTGACCAGGGGCAGATCTAGCGATTCGCAGGAAAGACCCCCCCTTCACGGTCTCTGACAAGTTTTTTTGGTATGGCAGAGTTGAAATCACCCAGAACCAGAACATCTGCCCGACTTCCCCCCATACTTCCCCCCTAGCTTCCCCTTTAAGTAGCTCCTATTCAATCATCCAAGTAGCATTACTTAGGGGGGAACCTCGGGGGGTAGTATCGTGGTGTTTTAGGGGAGGAGTGCTTGCCTTGACGCTCGCGGTGATCCCCTCCCTTTCCCAGACCCCCCAAAGGATCCAAAGAAAGGGAACCTCCTAATAATCCCCGAGTTTCCCCAATGTAGTAATGGTGGTCATCTTGGAGGGGCGCCATTTTTTGGATTTTTTAGGGGGTCTAGGTTCCAGAAATGTTTAAGCTTGAATAGTTGGGTGAGTTGCAGGCTTGGCATCCTGAAAACTATGATCCAGCTGGGGTTCTTGGCGTTCTAGATAATGGGAGTCAAACTACAATGGGAACTCCCAATTAGAGGAAACTACAAAAGCACTGGACTTCATACTCCTGAGGGCTTGGCGCAGTAGTCACCTGAGCGAAACAGCCGAAACACATGCTTGAGCAAAACTCGCTACTGTACTCGCTGATCCCGTGCAAGCGTCAACAAGCTTACAACTGCGCTCATTTATCCCTTCAAGTTACTAGCAAGTGTACCAATGCCATTACCAATACTGATAACATTTCAATGACCATTACTATGGCCATTACCATGACCATTAATGTCACTATCTGTATATGATATGACTCCGCCTTTGAGGTGCGACGCGTCTTGGGAAAGCATTGATTACACCTGACCCCATCCCAGGCCTATATCTTCCTAGAGACCCTCTCCCTCTTTCTTTAGCCGAGGGTTTTAAAATGGCGCCCTATATCTCCCAGGACCCCTCTCTCTCTCTGCATATGACAGTTTCAGAGGGACCCTATACCTCCCTAGAAACTCTTTCTGTACACATCTCTACGTATAACCCCCCCTTCAAAAGGGGCCGTATATCCCCTGAAGCCCCTTAGTGTCATCCGACCTGACCATCATCCCAGGCGGGCCTTCCTCTGCCTTCCAGCGCTTCTTCGCCTCGCGCTGCAACTTCTCCAAGGTCTTGGCAGGACCGTCCTGGGAGGCTTAGGGTTTAGGATGTAGTGAATTTGGTGTTTTCTGCGATGGGTCTCATGGTAGTCCCTGCATATTCGCCAAAATCCGTGCTGGAATAGGTGCTGGGAAGGAGGAAGGGGCCAACTAGGTTGTGTACGTTCAAGGTGTTTCTCAGCTGGGCCGGGCTACCGCCCAAAATGGAGTGCCCTGCGATTGGGTTTGAAGGGTTTCCGAGGGCTCAGTGCTCAGTGCGTAACAATTAGGGCATCAGGTTCAACGTGTGGGGCCGAGACGTACTCGGATTCCTCTCCACAAGTTTGGAGATGGTCAACTGGGTTGGCCCCTGAAGCCCTTTGAAAAATATCAGTATATAGGGTCCCTTATTAAAGCCATTAGGGAAAATATCAAATATCCCAGGGGCCTACGCAGTCAATAAAGATACAAAATCCTTCAGCATCCGCACTTTGACACTTCAGCTCTGGGCTCAATTCCTACAAGCCCTGACAAGTCCACAGGGGCAAACCTGCTGTTCTTGGCTTCCATGTTTGAGGTCCGGGGCTCGGATTTGCAGAGATTCAAACCTGAAACCCTTTTGCATCTGGTTCCGTTGGCCCTGCAGGTCTGTGGCCTTCCATCCTTGAACTTTATCAAGCTCTGCTGGGCGAAAGTGATCAAGCACCCTCCAGGAAATCTACTGAAATCACCCGGTATGGCAATGCGACTGCTGCAAACGATGTTCGTAAGCCTCAAGCTGCACACAAAACCTTATCCCTGAACCTCAACCCCGGGCCCAGACCTGTTTGGCTTCTAGAGTTTTCGGGCCGGAGTGTAGCCCAGGTACACAAGTCTGAAAATTTCACAGATACCCGTATTCTGCGGATATCCCTTACTGAGGGAACCCAACACACTAGTTGAAACCAAGAAATTCCGCAGCCCCACCAGAATCCTACAAACCGTTTTCCACCATGTCTCCAGGACATGCCGGTCAGCTGAATCGATTTCCTCTATACAACGAATATAGCTCCTGTAAGATGCGAGGTGGAACTGCGAGCAGGAGAAGAAGCCTCCCAAACACCTTTCGTAAGTAACCACCTCCCAAAAGTGACGTCCCCTAATCATGAACATTCCATGATGCTACCAATCGAATAGGTACTTATGATTAGCGCGCGGGTGGGTTGTTTTTATGGGGGGTGAGGGATTAAATATCAGGGGGAGGGGTTGCTCAGGATAGCCCCTATAATCACCAGCTAGCAGCCGACTGGATCTTCTTGGCGACAGCTTTCACCACGAACTGCGAATCCAAGAACTCCCAAACGCCTGAGTCGCGCTCCCAGGAGAGCAAAGCTGGGGCTTGAAAGCAGGCCGGTTGGAGAAGGGTACTTGGAGGGTCAGGGGGACCTAGTAACTAGGTTAATAATGGGGATACTTGGGGTTACTATAGGGGTCGAGGGGTTATAAACCTACTTACTAAGTCCCCCTGACCCTCTAAGTAGGAGTTTACCAGATGATGTAGCATGTCTAGGTGATACTTTGCTCCAACCGAGACCCCTCCGAACAACGATCCGTCATGTTGCTGTGAAAAAAAGGGGCATGGCAAACATTGGGGCATCCCTTGTGAAAGGCGAAACCTCAATTCCAGCCACCTCACGGTGCATAATGTGTGTGATGGAGGCATCTGTCCACACTGAGGGCGCAGCCGTCGCTGGCAATGATGAAAAACGCCTGTCGGGAGATATGTCTCGGAGACTGACCTACCTTGAGGAGTACCCTTGAAGAGCTCAATCCCTTCCCCAGCATTCAACAGCCCCTGTGAGAGAAGTGGTGGGGCATGTTGATATCCGTGGAGGCTACAGGGAGGAAAGGCAGAATCCAAGGCTCCATGAATTGGCCATACAATTATGTTTCATCTCAGAACAGGTGGCCGGAAGCCCTGCACTACTCCTCAGACGACCTCAAGTTTTCTGTTCGGCTCCCGTCCCTTGACAGCAAGGGCAGGCATGATATGGGAAGCTTGTTTTTGTCCAACATTACATTATTGTGAAGTAGTAGCGGATGCTCCAAATAAACAAGACTCTAGACCTTCGGTCCACAAACAGAAAAAGAAGGCGGTATGCTACACAAGATTAGGGTACGTGAGCAGTAAGAGGACACATGAGGACACAGAAGAAACCGTTGCTTGGCCCTGCATCAAAGATTTCCCGGCGATGCAAGGGCCCTTCAAGCTCTTGGTGCAAGAAATCAAGACAAAATGCAGGGTATTGAGGGGTCTCAGTGGCCCATTGACGCTGGCGTCTCATGTAACGAAGCGCATAAAGATCCAGGTGCCTTCTTCGAGAGATCAACGCTGGTGAGCACAACCTGCCACGTGAAGACTTCATGCGTGGCAAGCAGCGGAAGGCTTTGTAGTTTCTTATACTAGCCCGTTGCAGACATGCACACAACAAATCCTGTGGTCAACGTCTGAATGCCATAAGCCTCGAAGAGAAGTCTTGAGAGCTGAGCCACATAATTAGGCCGTGGGACGGAGCCTCTTGCACCTGAACTTAGGCGCAATCCTTCTGCTCCCTGATACCTTCCACCAACAGGGAGTAGGCTAAGTGTTAGCTACTTGATCCAAAGCCCGAACAGTAAAGCTTAAGTCTTGGCTTCAAGCGCCCAGCCCGCCTCAGGCGTTGCGATGACGCCATAGTCCTTCCAAGGTGTCTCAACTGCGGAAGTCGGATAAATGATAAAGGCCCTTCATTTTGGGGCCCATAGGGAACCCGTAGGTGGATTTCTCAAGAGGCCAGGCACTGACGCACACGCAAGAAGACCAGCCGGTGTCCTTCACTGACTGGTCTCCAAGCGTACGAGCCATGCAGAGGCCTGGGTAGTCCTGAGTCACAGTCACAGGTAAATGTGGAGTGGGGCACCCAGCAACGCATACGCACTCAATTGGGATCGCGCGCGTCCCTCCTATGTACACAACAAACAGGAAATCCAGGGACGAATGATTAGAATAAGCGTTTTTGTTAGCGCGCAATGTGCTGTGCAACGATATGTTGAAGGCTGGGATCGCAGAGTGTACTAAATTCTTCTTTGGGTGCAGGGCTCAAGGTCACAAGATCTAGAAATCAGGAGGGCACCTGCGCATTAACTCGATTGAGCCCTTCGGTCCAAGCAGCTGTGCAACAGGCCGAAAAATAATTCCATCACCAGGACTTAAAAGGATCGCACAGAACGAGCATGCATGGATAACTGTCCACGAACATGCGGTGTTCTTCCCAACTAGGATCACAAGGCATTCCCACAAAACGCCCAGTCTCATGCAACCCAGGAAGCCCCAAGCAGAACTGCACACAAATAGCCTCTTGCTCTGACGGTTCACCCTGGTAGGTATATTCGTGTTACGATAGACTGGTGAAACATTTAAGAGACTATGGGAAATTGTCTGTTTATGGCTTGGCCTTCCTAATTAACTAGGATTAGGCCGTTCCTCTGTTTCTAAACGCTTTAGTCAGCGATGGAGTTTTTTCTCAAACCAAGCACCCAGCCAGTCCAGTAGCTGCCAACAAGTTTAAGGTGCTGCACGTAGTCGCTCTAGGCATGCGCGCCTCTATGTATATATATATGCAGATATACAGATCAACATATACATGGATTTACATAAAAGTCTGTGAGTGTGTGTGTGTGTTAAATGTTGCATATTGCTGCATACTACCGTATACACATTTGCTATGCCAGGCTGGGGAAGCCTCTCACATCTCGCGAAACTGTACTTTGACGATACACTTGGGTTCCCCCAGAGCCTACAAGCGCATCCTAACAAAGGCCGTCAACGCATCCCCTGTGAAGATATGCTTCATGACTCGAACGGTGTCCGTGTCCAGACTCTCGAATGAACCTTGCCTTGAAACTTACATGAAATTTGCTTGCGCAAACGGCCCCTGCTCGACCATACAGCCAGAAAAACTCATCCTTAAGTCGCTAGTTGTGAACCCCATGTCGCAGAGTTCCGGTAATCTTGTTTCCAGGAACAAGCCAGTTCAAACCTGACGGGATGCCGGCTTCTAGGGCTCCTGCCACATACAGATACATACCGAATTGGTACCCAATAATATAGGGTTTAGGGCCCTATAATGGAGAATCAAATGGAAAAGGAAATGGAAAATGAAATGGAAACTGGAGTTATATAGCCTGGTAATGTAGTAGTATACATACCGAATGGTCCAGGCAGAAGACGTAGTGGTTTCCATTTTCTTTTCCATTATCCCCATATAAATCCCAATATACTGTAGTAGTTTCCATTTTCTTTTCCATTATCCTCATATAAACCCCAATATACTATAGTAGTTTCCATTTTCTTTTCCATTATCCCCATATAAACCCCATATAACATCTGAAATCCCAACTCTCAGCAAGGCCCTGCTGGATTTGGGGACCACCTCGTCTGCTAGTCACGGAATATATCCAAGATTGATCCCTAAACCCTAAACCCTAAACCCTCAATATCCCAAGAGCACCTGCCAAGAGCGAGCCCGAGGTGCTTTGCCCTTAATGAAGATGCGGTGGTTGACCCATCCATCCTAGGCTTCAGGCTCGTTGGATTGCATTGGGGAGCCACAGGTACGAAACGGACTTAATGGAAGCACTGAAATAAGGCTTCGGGGTCTACTCCGTGACGTAGAGGTACTATCTTTAGTATAGGGACTGAAGACTTGCAAGGTGCGAAATTGTAATTAGATTACAATGCTTACATATCAAGCTTGTTCGTCATGCGGGACACAAGGCGATTGAAGTGGGGCCTGGCCGCCTGGAGGTGCTCTCTGCGGAAAATGGAGCCAAGGGCTATTCAGGACTTGCGCTGTCTTTCTTCGTGCCACGATGTACCCCTGCCAGCTGCCTGAGAAAAATTGCAGATGTTCGCAGTTCCCTGACATAAACGGCTTCCCAAGATTGTAGCAAACAATTGTTGTTAAGTGCCCATTGTCACATTGTACAAGCTAAGCACCCCTCTCACTCTCAGCCAAAAAAGAAGGAGCTCCGCAAATACAAAACTTCCTCCCCTGAAGATCACCCCCACACAACCTAACACTGAACATGTCACCTAATATTTAATAAGCCCTAAAATATACTGATACTATATGGCGGAATCTTTATGACTCTAATTATAGAGGATTAACATGGATGGGCCCTGAACCTCTCATCGCTCCCAACTTCCTAACTTCTGAAACACTGTCCGTCCCATCACTCTCCCAACCTTGAAACTCAAAACCCCAAACCTAGATCCCAACATCCCACATGGCCCAAGAACCAGATCCTAGATCCCCTAGAAGATTTTAGGGTTCATGGTTGCAGGCAAAGCCCTAAAAAACCGATCCTACTCACATCCTATTCCTATGCCTACTACTGGCACTGAAGCAAAGCTCCGGATATGTTTGAGAGCGCACTTCGCCACCGGAGGCTTCTATTCGCGCCTTCTCCTTGCCAGGGTTTAGGGCCATTATCGGGTTTGGAGGCTTGGGGCTGCCAAGTTCTTAGCTTATAGTCCCCGTTAAGTAGATAGAATATGGGGTATTCGGGGATATGATTATAATAAACCCAAAGCCATATTCTATTTACTTAAGGGGGACTATACTCCCAGTGGTACGTGATCATCACCAAGAGCATTCAGCAAGAGTGCAGAAGCACTTGAGGATGGAAAAGTGACGACGTTTAGAGCACTGCCAGCCTCTGTCTAAAGTTTGCCGGAAAAGCCTGGGACTGCCGCAGCAACCCCACAAGCCCAAAATCCACAATGCTCCCACATGAATCCCAAGAATGAACGGTGCATATGCCTGCAGCCGGAGCACAATCATAGTCCATGCAAACACAGTAGCAAGAGAGCAGCGCTCTTATCAGGACACCCAATGCAAGAAACTGCAGAACTGCTCCGGTCGATATCCGCACATTCTCCGTAAAGTTGCGAAAATATTTGATGTACCCTGAACGTACGGGCGACCTGTTGCATTGGACCCATCCTCCTCAAGTACATGGCAATGTCCTTCCCAAGAACCTAGACACTAAGACTATCATAGGACTGCTAGAGAGTCCTGATTTTGGGGCCCGTGGTGTCCAAATGCTGCACATTGTAATACTTGTTCTCCCCTGTCTATGAAGATTATCACAAGTACTGCTTGTCCACGAGATCCGGAACAGAAACTAACAGAGAAACCCGCATGGAACCTGCTTCGCGGGATCGGTCCATTCCAAGAAGCCCTTTCCAAACAATCCTTCAGTAGTGCTGGCAGCGCCATTCACTTGTTTGCCGCCCCCAGCAAACCTAAACCAGATAGAAAGTAGGGAGTCAACGCCTGCTGCAATCCTGATCCCCAAGTCGGATTTCTTTGCAAAACAAACGACAATGTGACAATGCAGTCGTATTTAAATTCTCAGTTCCCAACCCACCATGCGGAACTCTTGGGGGCGGCTTTCGGGACACTTTCTTGGGGTCGACACTCTGCCCTAAACCCTAAACCCTAAACCCTAAACCCAATCCCCGAGGTTGCGCCTTTTCGCTTTGGGGCTTGTGATCCTCCGTCTCGAACACTACCTTCTTGTCCTTAGACCGCCAAGACTGGTAGAGACCGAGAGAAGGACTTGTGGGTTGGGATGGTCCTGCCTCTGAGAAGCGTAAAGGGATTCTGACTGCAATACTAGGCTTAGCGGCTTCGCGAAACGTCGACAGTGGAATTGCCTCATGGAGACTTCTTTTATGAAAAAAGAACCTTTCTCGAACTCTTTTTCAACCCAGACTCTGCTCGTTGGCAAGCTGGGAACTGCTGCAGGCTCAAAAACGAGGCTAGCCTTCTTGAACCCTAAATCATAAGTTCTTAGCCCTAAACTGTCTTCAAGTTTGCTGGCATGATCTGGAGGTTTTGGTTCTTCTCCAGGCCTTGCGCAGATTCCAGCGGAGGGGACTTGGGGTTGCGCAGGTCTTACTGCTTCTTAGTAGGGAACCAGAGAATAAAAAAAGAAGATACAGACTGCTGCTTTTAGGTGGGGTTTAGGGTTTAGGGTTTAGGGGTTTAGGGTTGAGCTTCCCGATTAGAGTAGGAAGCGAAATGATGGACCCTAAACAAATTAGGAACCAGATAGGGGGCGACGTGTTCCTTGGCATCTCCATGCATCTCCCTTTCTGAAAGCCCAAACCCAAAGACATGGAGGCCAAGCCCCCGCCTCATATCTACTTGGAGGGTCAGGGGAACTTAGTAACTAGGTTAATAATGGGGATACTTGGGGTTACTATATGGGTTCTAGGGGTTATCAACCTACTTACTAAGTCTCCCTGACCCTTCAAGTAGACCATCCCTACAAGGCCCGTATTAGGGTTTAAGGGTCCAGGGTTTAGCCGAATGAGAGCCTTGTACAACCAGCGCCCCCCATTTCATGAGTTTCGAGCTGATACCCCTAGGCCTGTGTTCGGAGGCTGGGCATCCTTTTACGAAATCCTGTAATTACATTGGCTATATTGGGCTCATGTAAGGGAACCTTCTAGGTTTTAAATAATTACGACCTTAGGCCCTTAGGAGTAAGCCCTCGGAAACCTTGACCATTACAGCCAAGGCGAGCCTAACTGCCACCCTGAGCCAGGGAGGATGTAGGTATTGAAAGATTCTATACAGTTAAATACGGTTATATAGAGAGTATATATAGTCTGGGGCTACTACCCCAACAATGGATGATGAAATGGACAAGAAAATGGGAAAATGGATATTGGTATTATATGAGCTATAGTCTAAACTCCTAGTATCCCCTTTAATAAGCCCTAATTTTGGGAAACCCCCATGTAAACCTTACATGGCCCACTATTATGACTGCTACTGTTACCATTCTTATTCCTACAATTAGGATGAATATCAACTATTAATACGATTAAGACCTAAACCCTAAACCCTACTGATATTATTGCTTCTCCCATTACTACTAGGACGATTATTAATATTCAGCCCCACCCCCCACAGTTTATGTGAGGCAAGCGGCAGCCTCAGTCCCGATGGCACAGCGGGAGTCCCCTGCGTTGGCGGTCCACACCTGGCCGAAGATTCCCAAAATTGGGTAGGGTTTGAAGTTTTTTCTATCACCTTCCCTTTCCGGTAGGACCCGATGATAAGGAGGTTGTGGGAGGGGTCCTCTGGAGCTATAGGATCTAAAGGATGTTTCAGGTGGGTAGTTTACCCCATGTAAGCCTTGCATGACCCTTATAGTGCCCCCACATAAACCTTATATAAGCCTTCTGTAGGGGTATTCGCCCGGTAAGTACCCACCTGGAATTTCCTTTAATTAATTTGGAGGATCACGTTGAACAACTCCACACCTTGTTGCCCTTGAACAGGGCGGCCACAGCCTGAAGCTGATCATCGTCCAGCTGAAGCTGGAGGGGCTTGTGGGGGCTGGGATCCAGAGTTTGGAAATTTGAGGCTGCATTTCACGTGGAAAGCAAGGTTGCTGCCTGAGACACGGCAGCCACAGGGCTAAGAAGCTGGGTAGGCTTTCTTTCTCGGGTTTGGGGCACGTAGAAGTGAGCTCCAGAACCGCGGCTGCTGTATGCTTCTTATTGCCAGTATCCTGAGACAGAGCCCCCAGCCAGTCACGACTACCACATACAGGCTTCTAGACTTTTGGCCGCAGTACGGATGTGGTTATAATCAAGCTCAGCCTGGAGCTGAAAAACGATAAGCTCGCTTTGGCCCCGAGTGAGTTCCTACGCCTGTCAAGAACGCAGCTGCAGCTGTTTCAACTTTTCCTGCACTTGTCGAGGAGGAATCTTGAGGGTGCGAGGCAGCTGCGAGGCTTCATGGAGTTGGGACTTAAGCGGCTTGTGGTTGATTCACAAGTCTTACGCGCTGGCTGGGAAATTCTAGACTGCCTATCTCTGATATCAAGCTGCTGCGCCAAGGAGTTGCGGGGTGTAGGCAAACTTTCTTCATGGCTTATGCCAGCCCCTACTCGCAGGTTCGAGGTAATTTTGACCCAGGACCATAACTTTATTGCAGTTGGGGCAAACTCTATTCAGGAACCCCCTGTGCAGCCGCTGTGCAGTGCTGCCGCTGGCTTGGACGTCCCAGTCATTCTCAAGCGAATGCGCCACGACGTCTTTCTGAGCCTCTTGGCGAACACACAAAAATCCACTGGATTGTAAAGGGTTGTTTGTACAGCCCTATAGTCCCCCTTAGGTAGATAGAATATGGGGTATATGGGGATCCTATTATAATATACCCAAAGCCATATTCTATCTACTTAAGGGGGGACTATATATAGGAAG